TCTTATCGATTTTATATTTACTGGTCGATAAGATTTAATGTGTTTAATTTAAGGTCATAGGTCAAGGTCGTGTTGCCAAGATGGAGGACAAGGCCAGGATGCCGTTCACTGAAGCAACCATCTTGGAGGTCTTTCGTATGTCCCCCGTTGGTCAGTAAATTTTATTTTAAGTTAAACTCACAATGTATTCCTTAAATTTGAAAATAACTACCAATAAACTGATCGATTTATCAACAATATAACAACAACAACCAAGTTTTGTGTGTGATTTAAAATTGAATGAAAAGAAAAGTTATGCGAGATTGTCCTATTTCATGGGACATTTCCTGATTTAAAGTTAATGCCTGACGTGAAACACGTACAGGGGTACAGGCACAGGGAACCTTAGTACCTCTGTACCTTAGTCAGGCCTACCCAACTACCAGACTCGGCACATAAGGATCCTGAATTAACCGGTATATCGCACCACACTACCCGTTTTCAATGTGTGTGTCAGATCGCATTTCGGAGTATCAGTCAGAACACCGACAGGATGAGCCCGCGGTCGTTCTACAAAATTTGTTCTGGGGTATGATACTCCGAAATGCGAGTAGTGTGGTCCGATATACCGGTTAATTCAGGATCCTTATGTGCCGAGTCTGGTAGTTGGGTATGCCTGTTACAGGGGCGGATTTAGGCCGTCTTCTGGGTCTTCCAGAAGACGGTCAGATTTTCAAGTTTACATAGATAGGTATGTAATTTTTTCTGTTGGAAGACGGTCAAAATTGGAGGATTGATCAACAAAGATAATTTGGAAGACTGTCAGAAAATAGCTCTGGATCCGCCCCTGTGTTAGTAGTTAGGTTGGCTTTATTTAGTTAATTGGTACCCACACACCTGACTACACATTTCTCTAGTTACATATTTCGTTGGAGACACGTTTTAAAAATAAATAACACATTTACCCTAGACATACCTTTTAAAATAAAACATTCCATATTAAATGTAAATTCTGTATACCTTTCTCACTCTGCCCGTCCCTCCCTCTGTGTCAATTAAACCAGTTTGATATGAAATATCTTTTTTTTTTTTCTTACATGTCATCAGCTCCGCTGGGTGCGCCCCATGCCACCAGTGAAACAACCAACTTGGCCGGATACACCATTCCCAAGGGCACCATAATACTGGGAGATTTGTACCGGGTTCTCCACGATAAGAATAACTTCGAGGATCCTTACAAGTTCATACCAGAAAGATGGTTGGATGATGATGGTAAAGTGGTCAAGTCGGACAAAATGATACCGTTTTCTATAGGTACATGTGAGGTATTTTTCATTAGAAGTTCAGTTGTTGAAATAACGTGTACAGTTGTTAAGCATCCCATCAAGTACACTTATTTTTGACGTAAAAAAATCTAGACATGCATTGAAAGCTACACTTCGGACATCTTCCATCACCCTGAGACTGCCCCAGTGAACATGTGTTGCAGGTTATTATCATTATTATTATTATTATTATATCTAGTATGGAAAAGTTCACGTAAAAGTAAGCTTTGCATATACTGTTCACCAAATTTTACACAGAATATGTGTATTTCAGGACCCCGTGTTTGTCTGGGCAAGGGTCTGGCTGAAATGGAATCGTTCATTTTCTTCACCACGTTGCTTCAGAATTTTACCTTCAAGGTACCAGAGGGCGAGAAACCACCCGATGGAGTGGAGGGTTTTAACGCGTCCACTTTCACACCATACAGCTACAACGTGTGCGCCGTGAGACGTTAAAATGAAGAAAACGGGCCAAAACGAGAAAGCGCCGTTTATTGTGCTATACACTTGTTTATTGTTTATTTTCTTCTGACAAAACATTTTACACGCCACTTTAAAGGGCTGCTTTACAACTGCTTATGCCTATCATCTATGCAATAATTTCGAACTCAAAGTCAAAATGCGGTTGAGACCCTGCTTGTGATTTTACATTTACGTTATGATAATAGTAATGATAATTAATCATTTATTCTTACATGGCGGATTCCATTAAAATTTCATTGTACCGTGTAATTGTTTTTAATTAAAGAGCTGTAAAATTACAATTTAAAATAAATAAATATTAGAATTAATAAATATTTAAAATGACAAATTAAAACTTAGTTATAAAATAAAAGATTAATAGCTTATTAATAATCATAATATAATATTAATAATTTTAAGTTTAAAGATTAAATATTGCCAATGAGAATACTGGGATCTATACGAATAAAAACTGATTGATACATGGTGCGTTGTTCGCATGTAGCAAGCTTTTATTGTTTAAAAGCAACTTTAATTTTATTGATATGTCTCATTTTTATCATAATAGCACTTTTAGTATTGTGACTGTAACATCTAAGTTGGAGGACACTCAGAATTATAGTTCTTGTCGTATCGTATGTTGATGTCCTGGTAAAAGCAAACCTTGTCACGGAAGAAAAGTGACGAATGTAACTATATATGTACACCTTTCGTCGAGACAAAAAAATGACTAGCTGAAATAACTTTTAACCAATCCAACTAAAATACCAAAATGCAAGCCTGAGCGAATCCTAAACACTTTATTCCTATTACATGTACTTTAACTAAATTTTCAATGCATGTGTTTTGTTTCGAACTCAATTCGATCTTCATGTTAATCTTAAATTTTATGTAAATGTGATTTTCCCCCTTTTTTTAAAATAACAGTGAAATCTATACCTCTGAATTATATTCATACCTGTAGTTCAAAACGGGGCTAGTTTGAACTTTACGATTTACAAATGCGGGCTTGCTACCTGGCGCGATTCTTGACTCCAGTTTGTGCAAAAACACAATATTGTATCAGTGTCAACGATTGGAATACTGGCAGAGACTACAGCTAAAGGTTTAAACTTATGGTTTTCAACATCTACCAAATTAGACCATAGCTTGTTTACATCAGGTATGCTTATCTTACAGGTAAATAATGAAAGCTCAATCTAACAGCTCAGCCTCATCTATGAGACGGCATCGGTGAATAGCGCATTTACAGCACGTGCCCGCGTTGCTCATTAACTTCCAGACCTAGCAAAAAGAGTACATTTTTCAAAGATTGATATTCACGTATTAAACACCTACTTTGTGTGCTTTGATACGTAAATCAATAGTTGGACAAGTATTCTGAAGGATGCAACCACCATTCATCTCTGTCACTGTTTTTGTTTTCCTTTAATGACGATATTACGAGAGTGACAGTCTTCTAGATGCAGTCGTACGTTTCCCATTACTGTGCACAGGTAACATTCGCCGCCATACACTGACTGGATACTTTTTACTAAACAAAATGACATCCTGACGTTATTAAATAACCATATGGGATCCAGGACTACTGTTCCTGGGACTAGAATTCCTGTCACAGCGGTGTGTGACTTCAGGGCTGCGTTACTTGTAGACTTGCAGATTAAAGGGATAATAACTCTTCGTATGAAATCTGTATTTCACAATAAAAAAATTGTGAATAACTCAAAGAAATATAATATATTCTGTTTTACGACGAAAACAGCAGTTATAGCTATTATTCTGATATCTGAGCTTGTCTTTAGACCACGTGACCTCCATTGATGGCTATACTCTGTTATAATCTCTTAAGAGATTTTAACAAAAAACCAAACTTTTTAGAAAAAAACCAGGGACTAACTTTGAATGTAAAAATGGATTCATTAACCATTGGTAAGTATGGGAAAATTGTTGTTTACTCCAGGAAAACTCATTTTTTGGCCAAAACGAAGAGTTATTATCCCTTTAATCTTACCTTATGCCCAGCTCTGTCGCCGGCGAGGCTGGCTGCCCCTTTCAGAAGTGTGCAACTTGAGGAGGTGAGAAGTGATATAAAGATCTGAATCTCTCTTAACGTAATTAATTCGCTAACTGACCGCTGTTTCACAGTTATCTATGAATACATCTTTAGTCCATACGGTATAGAGCATATAAAAAACGCAAATAAGAGTTCAAATGCATAGATTTTCGAGTTTCCTTAGTCACGTGAGAGTTATTCGCCACGCATACAGGTACATAAACGATTTAAAATTACGCTTACCGCAAAACCTGAAATAATTTTGAAATTGCGTAAGTTGTTTTAATTTAATTAAAATAGTTCAATGAGGCCTAAGCACCTGGCCTGGCAAATTTAGGTCTATACGTGCCACAAGTTAGATTGATCACTCTGTTAACTAGATTTGATGAAGTTGGGGAAACGGAAAAAAATAGAGGGGACATCTAAAGCGGGAGGTCGGTGGCTGCCTTCGGTTGCATCCTCGGCAGCGCAGCTGGTCTTAACGGCCCCAACTATATGCTCATGTACCCTCTATCAGGGCAACGGATTGATTTTTCATTACATATTCACAGATATATCTCTGGTTAAATAGATAGGCAATCTCTGTACGGTGACGCCTCAGCAAAATGTCCACCGAAGAATAACTGCGGTCCTGGTAGAGAGTAGTGCTCATGCCAGGCACTTCCTCGCAGGGAACAAACAGTGAAGTCTACTGTTGACTTATGTGGAGATATTTGCCCTTATTCCGCAAATTTATGGTGGAAACGAAGAGAGAAAACCACGAAATTTCATACAGATATCTAGTTTTGGGTTCCACAGTTAATAAAACAGTTATCACCTTCAACCTGATAATAAAATTAAGGATTTAAAAAAACAAAAATACAGAATAAGTTTGATTTTATTAAAGAAATCGATCACTGTAACATCGAGAAAGAAGGTCTGTCGGTCCATGATAGCCTACTGACTTGACAAACATTTCTACCACTGAAAATAAAAACACTGCAGTGGCGGATTTAGAGGGAGGGTAAGGGGGGCCTAACCCCCCCCCCCCCTTTCCATTTCCCAAAAAATTCACACCTCTTGAAATTAGAATTTTGAATAGCTGAATCATACTTCTAAACCAAATGGCACCGTTCGTCCTCTAAAACATCAAAAATTTTCAAGGACCTTCAGCGGGCCCCGGGCCCCACGCCAAAGGGGGTGGGGGTGGAGAGGGAGGGTCGGCTTCCCATCCGCGGACCCCCCTTCAAATAATCCTGGATCCGCCCCTGTAGTGTTACTACAGCTTACTTTCAACATAGAAAATGTAATAATAATGAAAATTGCTAATGTTTGATATTATTATAATTTTTTAAAATTAAACTTAAGAAATGCAACTTACAATCTACAATACAATGCTATTCACTTCTTCCTATTTATCCCTCACTTTCTTCTTTCATGCACACATATGCACACATATCATACCAATCAACTCAAAACCTATTAACTACAATATTTGATACTAGTATTATCATTACCTTGTTTGACGATAAAGATTGAAAATTGCCGATTCATAAGGTTGACTTGCGCTTCAATTCCGAAGGTCTGATATGAATAGGTAACGCAAGTAGATAAAATAAACCACCTTTAAAGAAACTTTGGCAAAGGCCAACAATTAGGGGTGTACCCTTACTTTAAGGGAATAGTGATGGGAACGAGACAGCATTTAAAAATTCCTCCAGATGCCCTACATAAGAATGGAAACGATAAATGACAGTCTTTTCGAAAGTCTGTTTTAAAAAGTAGGTATAGAATATGGCCTCCTGACTGCAAGCCAATATGCATAGTGTTTTCAACGTATACATTCCATTCAGTGTTCATATCACAAGGGAAGAAATCAAGAGGCAAATTATATAATAAGTACTGCCTCAATATGCATCTTTAAATATAATGAATGCTGTTTTGCATGTATGTTTGAGCTGTACGTCTTCAATCTAACGTCTAACGGCGCACACTTTCTAACTTCTAACGGCGCACACGTTATAGACGTGTGGTGCAAAAGTGTCAGCGTAGGAACCTTCAACTCCATCGGGTGGTTTCTCGCCATCTGGTATCTTGAAGGTAAAATTCTGAAGCAACGTGGTCAAGAAAATGAATAATTCCATTTCAGCCAGTCCCTTTCCCAAGCAAACACGGGGTCCTGAAAAAAATGAATTAAATAAATAAAAATGATTAAATAAAGTAAAATGATATAAGCATTTCGTACTTTTACATTAACTTTTTTACACTAATTCTACTTGGTGAAGGTAGACAACGTGAATACTTCGAATGAAATGAAACTAATTTATTTCAGGAATGACACCGGACTTTGGGGATTACTTCGACCCCCTGCATCCCCCTCAACAGGGGATGACTTGCTCGTTGTCTTTCGGTCTCCGACTGCTACAACTATACATGTGCACTTTGGCAGCACATCTACACAATTCTTGAGTGATTGCAACATCGTTGCTGATGTGCGATTATACAAGGTCTAACGTAAAGCAACGTACCTATGGAAAACGGTATCATTTTGTCCGACTTGACCACTTTACCATGGCCATCCAGCCATCTTTCTGGTTTGAACTTGTAAGGATCCTGGAAGTTATTTTCATCGTGAAGAATCCGGTAGAAATCCGCCACAATCATGGTGTCCTTGGGGATAGTGTATCCGGCCAAATTTGTAGTTTCACTGGTGGCATGGGGAGCTCCAAGGGGGGCTGATGGCATGGAAGAAAATAGATGTTTTAACTTAAACAAACGAATAATGGATCTTTTGCAGGTGAAATACCTGGAAAGTTTTATTTTATCACAAAGGCGCCAGACGCACTCGGCTCATTGTGCATGCTTAAATTTCTTAATTATGCGAATAACTGTACTTTTTCAAACAAGATTTTTATTACAAACACGTTTCTTTGTAATGCACTATTTTTGTAATGAATATTCTTTTTATTATTTTGGTGGAATAGCAAAATTCACTGACCAACAGGGGACATACGAAGGACCTCCAGTATGGTTGCTTCCGTGAACGGCATCCTGGCCTTGTCCTCCATATTGGCCACACGACCTTGACCTATGACCTTAAAATAAAAATATTTATCAAAAATTACCATACCCGATAGATCGTACTTTCGCCGGTATCATGATTTATTGCTTGGATAGAATTTTCTCAGTTGGATAATATAATAGGAAGCCAACTCCTCTACTGGTTATCTTGCTCTCCAGCTCTCATTTTTCCGTCGTTACGCTGTTTACGTTGTTACCTGATCAATTTCATGCTGCACCATCTTCTGAACGTCCGGATGATTTACCATATGAACCAGGGACCATCTCAAAGTATTAGCTGTTGTTTCCGTTCCGGCCAAACAAAGATCAACAATGATGCGGAAAACGTTCCATTCTGAAATTCATATCAATTAAATATTTTAAGGAGGTCGAGGTGGGTGTTAGTGAACTCTTACACACGACCAAATTAACTAAACCACTTGCTCGGATGTGTATGTCTGATTGTACTCGTGTATTCATTTACACAATTAAAGTAGCTAGGTGACTGCTACTTATCGATTAGTTGATCGGGTTATTTCGCCCAAGTGTTTTAACAATCGTCTCTTAAATTAAAATAAGCGATGGTTGGATGTTCAGGTTCTTTGACACAGACCTGTGTAGACCTCGGGATCATGTCCATCTTGGATGACCTTTATGAAGAGGTCAACGAAGTCCCGGATGTCAGTTGGATCAAAGGACTGGCGGTGTCTTTCGACTTCTTGTCGTACCAAACTATAAAACTTGTCACTAAGAGCCAATATCTTTTCTACCTGGAAGAGATTAATCTAAGCAAAATTAATTTTTTATATAAATTTTTAATATAATTACAATGCTCAAATCGTGAATGAAAGTTGAAACAAAATAACTTCTAACGACAAAATGTAACATTTTGTGACAATATAAATATTTAAATTAAAACCTTTACAAAGATAAATGTAACAAATCATTCAATTTTATACCGGTAAAAAGAAACGCGCCAAGTCAGTTAGGGTCAGTGATCCCTGGCCAATTCTCACAGATTGTTCTAAAACCGACAGCATTTCTGGGGTTTCTCTATAGTCATATCTAGAATTATTTTGAGCAAAAGGTCACTTTTCAAATACAAAGTATAACTGAACTGTAGCTATTTGAATTATTAAGATAATATACATAAAATTATTGAGACATTTCAACACGGTGGAGTAATTTGTTTAAAATAAAAGTAATAATTGCTCGATGGTTTCTCGTACTTTGGAATGCCTCCTGCAAAAAATCTATCAATATTATGGTTGCCTTAACCAACGTCAGCTACCTTTCAGCCCAACATTTTGCCCCAGGTTTAACATCGTTTTAAAGTATTTTAAGCAAATCCACTCGTTTGTGTTCATATACAGACTTGACATTTATATGGAATATTTTTTCCAAATCATAATTCATCAGTTTATTTCCTGTTTTGCTGAGTAATCGTGTTTTAATAACTTTTATTAATCTCTTTGATGTCATTGTGACCTCAGTTCATTAATTGAATTCACCAGTGAAGCAAACAAAAATACATTGCCTATTCTTAGTCATACGACAACTATTGGAAGCGATATTTTGGATCTCCATATTTTCCAAATTATCGTCTTTAAAAGAGTTACACGCCCCACATGGACCCTTATGTCACAGCAACAGTCGCTGTTATGCCTGACTTCATCTGGCCGCTACCAGAGCTTTCTAGAGGCAAGGCATTCCCTGGGATAGGTTTTTAGAGTTTAATCTGAAATAAAACTCCAGGCAACGGTCAAAACGTGTTCAATTTGGATTAGTTTTGTTGTAGGACATACAGGTCGTTGAATCGGCGAGCAATGACCTACTTACATATTGTCTATGTGGTTCAAAAATGGCGATTTTGATGACCAAGGTAGCTGCTCATTTCTTTGTTTCTGTTAAAAGCACTCTGTGTGAACCAGGAATCTCATCCTTCTACCCAGAAACGGTCATTGTCCCCAATTCATTAGAGATACTAGTACAGACGACGCTGTTTTGCTGTTTACAGAGGCTTCTTCAGAGGTTGTCTGGTATCCTCACCTGCTGTAACCAGTTTTGTGTTTCCTAAGAGCCTTGAAAAACTCGTTTTGGTGACAATTTACCCCTCATTCTGAACGGACTGGGTGGGTTTTGTTTAGTTGCAGCAGAATATCCGGAAGGACAGTGATTCCTGTATCCCAGTGCTAAGATTTCGATACATTGGGCGTGGCCTCTGTGTAGGTACATCAGATTTGGCATAACTCTATAAAAATGTACGGACCATTCCGTGTGACACAATTATTTGTCTAGCAATGTCTGTCTTTTTCGCTCCATTTTGCCATAAATCAACAATTTTGTAAAATAATGCTTAACTCATTTTACGCACTGCAAAACTGGCCGCTTGCATGCAAAAATTCAAATTCTTAGATCCAGCAGTTACCGACATATGGATACTTTTTTAAACAGAACCATGCTTCGCCTAAGGCATGATTTGGCTGGCCCAAAGGAGCACTGCCCAATTAAATTACTGCATATAACACAATGCAACAGACATAGTAGTCAGTTAATTGGTAGCGACACACCTGACTTAACACATCTTTAGGCCGATATTTTATATGAGATTTGAGTTTTTTGAAAAAAGAACGCATTTTTACCAAGGTATACCTTTGAAACTGAAATATCCCATATTAAATGTCATGTCTGTACAATGAAAGGCAGCTAGAACTCTCTTTATCCATAAATATATCTATCAATGTTATGCTTACATAAACCAACGTCAACTACCTTTCAGCCTTAATTTTTGCCTCTGGTTTAACATCTTTTTCGAGTAGTTTAGTCAAACCCACTCATATGAGTTCATATACAATAAAAGGTAAAAACTGTCTTTATCCATATGTAATGACTGGACACTACGAATATGTGGAAAGGTTTTCGCTTACCTAGCTCCAAACACAATGGTAGAAATAATGTTGCTGACGGCGTTCCCAATCTTTTCCTTTGGAGAAAAAGTCTTTCCATTTTCATTTTCAATGTTTTGCACCAAGTACCTTGCCTCATCCTGAATTCTCTCTTGTAAACTTTTTCTCCCGAGGCCGAGATCTCGCAGAGACGAGAGTGTGAATCTCCTGAGCTCTTTCCATTCGTGCCCGGATTTAAATATAACTCCAGCCCCTGCAGATTAAATTTAACCAAGTTGAATGGAAGGTCACTTTAAATTTGACAGCTGGTAGTCTGTATTTTATTTTTTATCCTATGGGTACACTGAAGAAATTAACCCTTGCGGGATTCTACTCAAACATGCCACAAGACCCAGATAATGAGCCAAAATATTCTAGAAAGATACCAGTATATCGTTTTTTCTTGCCTCTTTCAAGTGTGTCAACTCACTAAAACAAAGTTGCTTCGCTATTGTGCGCATTTTCTATGTGCCTATTTGTTAGCATAGACAATACTATTTGGAAATTTTCAAATCACTACATTACCGTCCCTCCCGACTATACANCTGGTGGAAGTATTGGTGTAGGTGCCCCTGTTGTAGCATTTGTTTGGAGGACTTTATTAACGGTTCCTGAAAAATGTTGAATTGTCTGGCAATGGCTATCCGTTTCTAGCCATTTTCTCTGAGAGCAAGAATCCCATAGTAAGCTGCGTTGCTTAGCTGTCGAACTATATCTTCTCTAAGGTAACTGACAAGTTTCAGAGCGATCCCTTTGTTGCTTCTCTAAATACACTCCAAAGATTGACCAAACCCATGCGCTTTTATACAAGGGCAGAAATTGCCGAAAAGACCACCCCTCACATTTCTGACCACAGAACATGCAACTGCTTACATTAATTGTTTCGAAAGTTGCATGGTAATTAGGTAACACACCTGGCTACACATAGAGTGACACCTCAGTTTTGGATTTAAAATAGTTGGAGAGAAATTTAATATTTTGTAGAACATTTTCTCGACAAAAAATAATATTCCATATTAAGTGGTAACCCTGTATATCTTAAAAGATATATCCAAGTAGGTCTACCGCTGACTGTGGTTGCGTTCTTCACGAAAGCCTCTTGGATTAGCTCATAAGTACCCAGCATTATCATGTGTTGTTCACCAAGTTTGACGTGCATGATATCTCCGTATGTATCATACCATGTAAGAAGATCCGTCGGTTGTCGTCTCCTACCGCTGATCATCATCTGTGGGAGACACCCCACCACGGGGAAACAGAGAGGTCCGGGCGGCCAGTTCACCCGAGGATTCCTCGACGACAGAATCCACAGACTTAACAACAACACTACCACGAATATCAAAACAGTAGGCTGAACAAGATTGGAGAAAAAAGCGATTAAACTCTGCTCGACGTTGGCCATTTTGGGCAGAGCAGTTTTGGCAGCAGTGCGTGATGATGACGTCTAGTGTTACAATCTCTATACCAGCGCAGTGTAAGAACTGTGATGGGAGTGCTGATTTCTCGCTCTACTAGTGCCCCCTTAAATCTCATGTTTCACTGTGATTTCCACAGAGGTCAAGCATCGTCTATTAAATTGAAAAGACACTATCGCCAGTATCATACCAGGAACGTAACCAGACCTTTATAAATTGTACGCACAGATTATTAAAATTCCCAGCACGTACTGGTACAGCAAAATGCAGACTAACGCAACAGATGAAGGACACAGCATATGCACCACACATCGCAGCTTAATTTCCATTAATAATAAAATCAACATTTAAGTCAAAAATATTTTCGCGATTTAATAAAGTTTCAATATTCGTATTTACCCAGAACGGTATATTTATTTAAAAGGAGGCTAACTTCGCATACGCGGACCCCCCCCCCCCCCCCCGCCCCTTCGAATAATCCTGGATCCGCCTCTGAGTTGAACGGTTTCATCCATCTTTCATGTGGATGGCTTTATACTTGTATGTAATAAATGTTTTATATTTCCATAGCTACTATTAGTTGAACATATAGCATTGCTATTTATACGTTTATTTCTACATTATTAGAGCAGGCAATGTTGTCAGATGGGCTTGAAAGTGAAGGTGAAGTCCAGT